TCAACATGCGTGTGTATTTTTAAAAAAATAATTAAGTGTTCCACGTGTGCTAAAAAGTGCCCTCCCCCCCCTCCTGAGCACCTGCCCCCCAAAATTTCTGTGCACGCCTCTGCTGCTTATGGCTCTGAATACTTATGTAATTCATTATTTAGTTTATATTTATTTGCAAAAATCTTAAGTGTTTCTATATTGTTACTATTGGATGATGTTTTTAGGGTTTTGTTAATAATGAATCACTGCATCTTCTTGCTCATAGCCTCCTCTGGATCTTTACTATAAGTTAGAAGGTAGTTTGTTGTTTCCTTATTTGTGTCACATTCAGACTGTAGGCCTGCTGTGCTGTAATGGCTCCGCCCACATTGCCAATGGTCTTAATAGGGATCAAAAACCACACATTTAGAGAAGAGTCAACATAGGATTCTCCAGGATGACTATACTTTTTACCAACAGAAAAAGGGACATGGTGAGACTTGCTGAACCCAGATCATCTCAGTCAATAGTTGGGAGGTCATTGTAGCAGCATCAAGATGTTTAAATCCATTTCCATAATCTTTCCCAGCTCTGTCAGCCATTTAAACACATCTTCAACAATAATCCTCTATTCAGTGTCATTCATTTCCTCCTCTTTTTGTCTGTGTTTCAGTGATGAAAGTGTGAGATCATGGCTGCCACGCCAGGTGAAGGCTCTGTGCGGCTGGACGTCGCCGCAGGACGAAGAAGAGACGACACAAATCCTCCAAAAAGTTTTGTTGAGTATGGACATATCTTCTACATCAGACCTGTGTGAATTCTGATTAGTTCAGATTTAGCAAATACATTATTGCCTTTAACTTGATGGGCCCTGAAGTGGCAGTCAGATGGAGGCATGCAGATACACACAAAGGTGACAATGATAATAAAAAAAGACGAGATCAATTTTTCTGATAAAATTATAGTTTTAGACCCTGGAACATTTTCATGGTTCTTTGATTTTCAGGCTGATGCTGCTTTACCCTCCTAGAACAGCCGGTATCCTCTTGAGGAGTCACCTGCTCACTTGCTACAGCAATAATTTACTTGTTACTGCTGAGAATTTATGTGCGTGGATGGGTGAATAACTGAATGTAATGTGAAGTGATTTGTTAAAGTCTTCTGACTTGAAAAATGCGCTATATAAGTACAGGCCATTTATATTTAGACTGGTAAACACCAGGACAGCAGAGAGATGTGTTTATTAAATCCAAGAGCTCTTCATTCCATTGCAGGGGGTGTGAGGATAACAGACTCGTCCAATAAAACCAAATCATAGATCATTTTACCGTAGAAATTATGCTTTGTTTTCATTTTTAAACATGATGAAGCTCACTCAGACTGAATGGAGAGCTTCTGAGAACGTCTGTTTTCAAGTTTTGCTATAGATTTTCAGATGTAGCTAAGTCTGGACTTTGACTAGGCCATCTTAACCCATAAATAAGCTTTGATCTTAACCAGGAGTTTTCCAGTCAGGGACCACTGTCCTGCAGGGTTTAGGTATTCACACACCTGACCTTGGTGTCTGATGAGGAGTGAAATCAGTCATATGATGAAGGTGAGCTGGAGAAGAGACACGAACAATCAAGTTTTCTTATCTTCAGTAGTGGCAGCTTCCCTGTCCCTGCAGAAGGATGTAATCCCCACAGCATGATGCTGTCACCTCTGTGTTTAACTAATAGTGTTCATACCTGGTGTTGCACGTTTCTGCCAATGTGATCACAAGTGGTTTCCACCTTATAAGGAGAGCACCCCAGCTAGCTGCTTTATGTCAAATAGATCAGATCAGAGCTACATGACCTTCACAGATGTTTCTGGAACATCTCAGATACATCAATTTACTTAATTTACATTAATATTCTGATCTGACCCTGACATTCCCATGGAGTTATACTGAATTGCTTGAAATTCTCTATGATCTTCAGCTTTTAGTTGGTCTGTCACAGAAACTCCATACAAAGGATTTTAGTTTCTGATTAAAATGTTTAAGAAGGTTTAGCAGGTATGAAGCCCTGAACAATCTGAGGTTTAGCTTGTTTGTTCTAGTCCTGGTTAGATCTGATGTGTTTATCTGCTCCTGTTGTTCTGTTTAGTGGTGGCTGGAGTCTTGGTAGGAGCAGCGTTTGAGATCAGACCAGATCTGGCAGCTCCAGAAAGGAAGATCTCACTGCTGTGCAGCTCAGTGCTGGATGACATGCTGTTCTGTGAGTCTACTGGTTCTTGTAAAGGTTAATTCAGAACCCTAAGCCGAACTCAAGAGTTTTGGAAATAATAATATGACTTTATCTTTTTTTTTTTTTTTTAGGGCTTCTGGAGACGGAGGAAAAACGTGATAAGGGAGCAGAGAAATGGTTTTGTATTATTTTTTTGTACTTTACATGCTAAGGGTTTAAAGGAAAGGGGGTGGAAAACTGGGATAAAAACAATATACCGTAAATTCTCTAATATTGGCCTGTATTCCAATAGCGGCCGGGTCTCTAATAATGGCCGGTCTCGCTGTCAGAGGAGGTAAATAATGGCCGGTCTCTAATACAGGCCGGGGCTATAAACGTTTTTTCTGGGCATACCTCAACATTATACTTGTGGTAGTAACATACAAGTAGCCTACCACAGCCCTGCGCAGCTGGGCGACAAGCCCTGCTGCTGCCCGTCTGCGCGAGGAGACACGCAGCAGAACAGGAGGAGCAGCGCGAGTGATGAGGAGAATAAAGGGAGAGAGGAAGAGGTGGAGGAAACTGAGGGGGGGAACTAAACGGTATTGGAGGACTTTTACATTTTTTTTTTACTTCAAAC